ATCCACCTTTTATACTTTTCCTTTATTTAAAAATGATTATTGGTTGGTAAATACATTAAGGTCACATTTCCTGTTTAAATCTTTTCGAAAAAAACACGTAACCAACATTCATTTTGTCTTACTGGCCTACGAATAGGAGAAATTTAAAATCAGGTTTCAAGATAATATGATATTGTTTTGACATATAATCCTCCTGCCATAACTATTTAATTAGTCACCGATCCTTTATTTTGCACAACTACATCACGCATAAAATGACCGCAGACCATCATTTGTGGCCCCATCGACCAGCATAATGTGACAAGAGTTCACAAAAATAGTTACTAACTTAAAATAAGTAGAAACAAATAGAAACATTCACATGCATAGTAAGATCGGACCACAGGATGCATTGAGATGAATATTCCCGATGATTTTGATAGCCAAATGGCCACTTAGTTCTCTGCCCAACTGAACCGAGAAATTCTACCAATGCGAAGTTTACTATTTTGAGCTAGCACAACTTGCATGTTAGACTCCTGCATGGGAGTGAAACTGACTGCGATTTTCCAGAAAACCGTAAAACCAAATGATTCCCCATCGTCACAATTTGAGAGTGGATACGAAGATTCACGTTCCAGGCGTTGGTGTGAATAAAGGAGAAGACTTTTCGAGCACAGGAGCAGTTAGTTTATTATTCTGAATTTTCGAGCTCGTGTAAAAGTTCATCATTGGGGATAGCAGTAGCAGCAAATAGGCAACAATCATAGAAGGTGAAAGCCAATCAACTACTAATGACGCAAATCGAGGGCTGATTACGCCGGCGCTAAATGGATCGAGTAAGTTGCTATTAATTGTCGGCTCGTCTTGTTTTCACCATGGGTGCTTATCTGGGCAGCTGTGAAGTTGAACTCGTGGTCCATTTTGTAGGTGTGAGCAACAACTTGCGATAATTCGTCATCCGTTGTACAGCGAGCTTGACCTATGCAGTTATAAGGATAGTTAAGCACAGAAGACGATATAACATTAGAGATTTCTCTTTTGGATTTAGTCGGTCTTTTATTACGCTGCTGAGCATGGTAGTTTTGGCTCAACGTGCAATTCCGACGCCCAGTCCCACAACCATGTGCTCAGTGGCTACTGACACGTACCTGATGTAAGACAGAGCACGCCTTATCCTCGGTGGCGTTTATGTTCGGGTTGTCAGAGGTCAAACGCGTAGGCATCGGCTTATAAATGCCTTCAGATAGCCATTCGCATAAATCGCTCACATACTTTTCCGTCGGCCGCAACTTCGGTTTTGAGCCAACGGATGGTTACTGTGAAGGCCGGGAACTTGTGCGGTGTTCGTCGTCTTCGTGTCAACCATCATCACAATTTCACTATTATGCTTTTAGATGACGAGGACGTCAAGGAAAGGCGGCTGCTGCCCTTGTTCTTTTTCGCTCGTTAATTTTCTATCAGGGACGTCTTCGATAAGCAAATTGTTTTAAGTATTATAGGCTATGTTCCACTTAAGAGTCCGCCGATTATTCACAGGGTGTGCATTTTGTTGAGGTTATATTGTGTCCTATGGGGCAGCCTAACCCTGATTTTGAACAGGTTATTATGCAGCCAAGTTGGGTTCCCTCGCAAAGGTTCAATGGTTAGTCAAATTGCCGGCACTTAAATTACTCGATTTATGACAGGAAGTTGTGCATGCTAATAATCGTAATAGTCATACACAGTAGAGACCAAAATAATCTTAAAATTTTAAAGGACGAGCTGGGCAACGCGTGCGTGATTAGCGGCTAACTAAATCGGCATATTTCGTCCACCGGTAGTCCATAACTCCAGGCCTCAGATACCGGAGTGGGGGCCCTTCATTCCCGAGGTTATAGTAAAAGGGGTCTTACAAGAGCTGGCGACTCAAAAAAAATAAAAGTCAGCTTGCCGATAGAAGCGCATATACAATTTCCAGGAAGCAGTTCAGAAGTAGAAGATGCGGTCGCTGGAACAAAGAGCTTATTTGCCTGACATTTCGGATTCTGTTGTGAACCCTTCATCAGAGGTAACCGCAGAATAGGGTGATAAATGTACAGAGTAGGGTGATATATCCACAGATTACGCAGGATTTATAGTTCGTAGAGGCCACCCGCGTGCGCACTATAATCACCAGCCCCCGTAATCAACGTTGGAGGTCGTAATTGGTGCGGTGATGGCTTAGCAGTCCGATTTCGAGTCATCAGTGGCCGTGATTTCGTTGTCCGTGTTGGATGCGGGCTTCATAATTACGCGACAATTATGTTCGCTCTCGTCGGAGTTAATGCTGCGCCCGGCCCTTCCCACGTGACTGATTCTCTTGCTCAGAAAATGTGTCAGTACAGAGTATGGGAGCGGTAATTTGTTGCGCTTGTTTCAGCGATCGCGTCAATGTATAGCTGCTGACGCAGCTCCGGTTACCAGCGGTCCGCCATCACACAAAGGCGAAACCTTCACAATTAGCTTAACTATCTACTTCCTGTGACTCACCATTTAAAGCAAAGGGAAAAGAGTACTAACTCCTGATGATATCACAATCGAGTTGTAATCGTCAAGCGTGCGTTTTATGCAAATGTACGAAACGTTCACCTTCCTGTGCTCGGCATTCTAGCTTGCACATAATACTAATACTGATTGTTATGCGACTGTCTACGAATGCACCAGATGAAGCCCACTTCGGCGAGCACGTAATCGGTAAATCAAACAAGGCTATTAGTGCCAATCTGAACGGGCAAAATAAAAAAATCGTGGCTCATTCATAGGGCATTTGATTTGAAAACGCTATGGCTAAAGAGTGGGACTTTGAACACAAGGTCATTTAGACCTACAGCTGAGTAAGGCTTGCTGATGAAGATTAATAATTCCATAGTAGCCATCTCAACCTCCGTCATATTTATCAACACCCTATCCTAGTATAGCTTATCTTAATGGAATGCGTTAGGTACTTAACCAATTCAATTAGTGACCTAACGACATGGACCCCCTGAGAGGGGTTGCGCAGTTCGGTGTGAAGGAATTCCAGTGGACGTCATATTTCGCTTATACGGCACGCCAGTTTTGGGTCACAAGAGGGTGCCAGTCGATCGGCGAAATCAGATCAATCTCGAGTTCTATGCTTGCACACCTTGTCGGCATGAATCACTGAGTCGATGGTACTGAAGCCTGTCGAGTTGTCTACCGGACACCAGCCAACACCTCCAAGGGCCCAAGCCAATGGGTGCTAGCAACAGCCTAGGCAGTGGCTATACGGCTAGCGGATCCAGTGCAGTGCTGTCAGAAAACGCCAACATAAGCCTTGTCACTTCCGCGGCCGACGCC